GGCTGTGAGGCCATGGAAGGGAGCTCAGGACAATGATGGAGAACAGCAGGGTCCAGGATAGTGATGGGGGGGTTGGGGGGAGGCAGGGCAGGGCTAGGGGGATCTGTGGCGGGCAGCAGGAGCCAGCACCAAAATATAACTGTACAGTATTGTTATTATTGTTATTATTGAGTCTGTAAAAAAACCAGCCTACATAAACTCTGGCAGATTAGCCAATGGGACCCGTGCCCAGGGGCCCAAGCCAATTGGGCGGCCACTGGAAAAATGGTCACGCCCATGTCCCAACCACCCGGTGCTCCTGCTGGGGAGTGGGGGAAGCCTCTGTGCCCCAACCCTGCTCCTGACCTTATTTCCCGGCAGGAGCACTGGGGGAGGGAGTGGGGGACCGCAGCTTGAAGGGGTGGGAGAGGGCCTCCACTTGCTCTGGCCCAGGGCCCCCAAAACCCCTAATCTGCCTCTGTACATAAATAAAGTACAATGATTTGGCCATGTCTGTGTGCATATTTATTTGTTTTTCCTAAAGTTAATTAAGTATTTTAGAAAAAGTTGTCAGAGCGGCCACCAGCAAGAGTCGGTGGCCATACTCTGAGGCCACCAAAAATTTTGTTGTGTGAACCCCTGGTCTCAAAAAATCCAAGACAGCCAGCTAGCCAGCCTCCTTTTGTAAACCTCCAGTGAAGGAGCGTCCACAACCTCCCAAGGCATCTGTTCCATTGTCCTACTGTTCTTACAGCTAGGAAGTGCTTCCTGTCATTTAGTCTAAATCTGCTATGCTGCAGTTTGAACCCATTGCCTCTTGTCCTGCCCTCTGTGGCAAAAGAGACCAACTTTTCTCCATTTTTATGGCAGCCTTTCAAGTATCTGAAGCCTGCTATCATGTGCCCCTTAATCACCTCTTTTACAAACAAAACATACGTGGTTCCTTCATAGAATCATAGAATCATAGAATATCAGGCTTGGGAGGGACCTCAGGAGGTCATCTAGTCCAACCCCCTGCTCAAAGCCGGACTAATTCCCAACCAAATCATCCCAGCCAGGGCTTTGTCAAGCCTGACCTTAAAAACCTCTAAGGAAGGAGATTCCACCACCTCCTTAGGTAACCCATTCCAGTGCTTCACCACCCTCTTAGTGAAAAAGTTTTTCCTAATATCCAACCTAAACCTCCCCCACTGCAACTTGAGACCATTACTCCTTGTTCTGTCATCTGCTACCACTGAGAACAGTCTAGATCCATCCTCTTTGGAGCCCCCTTTCAGGTAGTTGAAAGCAGCTACCAAATCCCCCCTCATTCTTCTCTTCTGCAGACTAAACAATCCCAGTTCCCTAAGCCTCTCCTCATAAGTCATGTGCTCCAGCCCCCTAATCATTTTTGTTGCCCTCCGCTGGACTCTTTCCAATTTTTCCACATCCTTCTTGTAGTGTGGGGCCCAAAACTGGACACAGTACTCCAGATGAGGCCTCACCAATGTCGAATAGAGGGGAATGATCACGTCCCTCGATCTGCTGGCAATGCCCCTACTTATAGAGCCCAAAATGCCGTTAGCCTTCTTGGCAACAAGGGCACACTGTTGACTCATATCCAGCTTCTTGTCCACGGTAACCCCTAGGTCCTTTTCTGCAGAACTGCTTCCTAGCCATTCGGTCCCTAGTCTGTAACAGTGAATGGGATTCTTCCGTCCTCAGTGCAGGACTCTGCACTTGTCCTTGTTCAACCTCATCAGGTTTCTTTTGGCCCAATCCTCCAATTTGTCTAGGTCCCTCTTCAGCCAAGATGTTAGTCCAGACTCACTTCCACCACCCCCATGAGTCATCTCACTTAGGTTGATAAAAAGCAGGCTGATACTCGTTCACACAGCACCTGTAAGAAGTTTTAGCAATTCAGTAGGGCCTGTGCCAAGGGATATGTATGCATGGGAATTGTAGCTATGCCAGGAATGGCGCATCAGCATTTACATATCCACACACGGAAGGATTTCACAATGGCTCATGTTGCTATTTTTGGAATATGCCACCAGAGGGAGCCAAAACATCAGAGCATAACAAGACTACCTTAAGGTTGGTATTTTTTTAACTACACTAGATCCTCCGGAATGGAGGTTGTTGGTAATTCTGAAATGTCCCTAACTCTGAACAAAACATTATGTTGGTTCTTTCA